CCCTGTGCACAACAGGACCAAACACTGTCCGGTCCTGTGCTGTCCTCACAGCTGTTCCGAAGCTGGAGCCCACTGCTGCAGCCACGGTGTCAATCCATCTCCTTGTCCTTCTCTAGAGACTGCTCTCTCCAACATGTCCGAAATGCATGAGATCAAGTCTCGCCAAAAGCACTAGTAGTGAGTTCTTGAACAAGAATGGGCTTCTGCCATTTGTAGACTCACTACAATGACTGGCTAATCTGTTCAGCTATCAGAAAGATGTCTACGCTCTATTCCAATTTCTTAAATGAATAGGCATGCACAATCTTCCTTCCGTCCTCAAGTTTTGAAGAGAGTAACACGGACAACTAGACTGGTTGAGGATGAACATTATTCCATTCTGCAAATTATGTTCTCGCCAGTCATCTTTACATCCTATCAATCTTTATCACAGAACCACACTATATTTCCTCAATGGACATTTTCATTTGTCTATTTCTACTCACTAAAAAGTACCGCATATCCTCATGTATAAGCCAAGTTTTTTAGCACATTTTTAAGGCAGTGTTTGTTGTAAAATGGCTGATATTCGGGTTGGCTTATACTCAAGTACATACGGTAAGCTCTAGGGGTCCTGTCGGTCTTGTTTCCCACGCTAACCCCCAAGACCTACAGCAGCACGTGGCATTTAGTATGGACTCAATAAATATTTGCTCAATTAAAACCCATAGCCTAGAGTATTATATTGCGTTTCAGTTCAGCTTGTTAATTCTACCTTCTAAGGAAGTAGGTATGGAGCTTAGACTCCTGATAGACCCCCAGCCTTTAGTTTTGATGCCATATTCTAACCACCCAATGTATCCTTCATACTACTGTCAGTAGAGTCTCTTAAAAGATAAATCTGAGTATATAACACTCCACCCCCACACCAGCTTCCCAAGATTATATGGTAGGGTTCACATAAATCCCCACACATTGCTCAGTGATCTACCTCCCGCCTATCTTTGCTACCTAAGTTACTGCACATCATTCCACACAAGCACACACACATTTTCAGGAACACTGAACTCACAGTTCTCTAAATACTATCTACTGTTTCAAACTGAAGTCTTTGCACAGGCATTTCTACTTGCTGAGTGATAACTCCAACCCATTGAGGAGCTCCAATTCAAAATGATACCACTCTAGATTTCTGCGAGATTCCATGAGAAAGAGGAGAGGCTTGTGAGAAACACACAGAAGATATCAACACTGACTGAGTCACAACATGACAGCTAAACAGGCACACGGTATGACAGGCTGGAAAGAGGGTGAGGACTCATGGAGGGCATGTGAGAACAAGTAGAAACAAATGGCAAATAAGGTAGCCAAGAAGTTGTTAGAAATCGGCAAACAACAAGAAGTTACTAAAAGCTACCTAAGAAATGGGAAGAATAGGAACGGAGGATTAGAGGTCCAGTGATGTCACCACTGAAAACTGTAAACAATTTAATGATCACTTTTATTATGACACCCACCTTGATTCTGCTTGCAACTCAAGACAGCAAAGAACGCATATGGCTATAAGGAGGCTTCAAAGTGTTTGTAGAAAAATGGAATTGAGAGATAATGGAGTTTTCCCACCAACTTTTTGAAGTTTTCCTTGCATTTCAAAACCAGGAATGAAGATTTTATGAAAAGAATGCTCTCTATTTATCAGCTACATGACAGCAGAAGGAAGAGCCTTCCAGGTTGTGTTACTGTTGGCCTACTAAAAGAAAAAATATAACGAAATGCTTACATTATAAATGTTAACCTACATTATAGAAACTCACTAAGAAGAAATAGATTGAAACCTATATATTACTTAGAAAAAGAGCACACAGGAAGCATCAGTACAAGTGTTAATATCATTAACACCATTTTGTAAAGTTCCGAATTTCATGAGCATCACAAACCCAAATGACTAATACATGTGATCAAGCCAAACTAGTATTAAATTAGCAGTCAAGCAAAATCACTTGTGCTTAATATATTCAGGTGGTAGTGAGGTACATAATGGCAAATTTTAGTTACACTTAAAATGACAGAATTGAGCATCTACTTACAGGATTTTTCCTAAGGATTAAAAATAAATAAATACAGAGAAAATGTAAGCATTCAAATACTTGTTAAACTATTACTGGATACATTATTATATCTATAAATATCTGTGCTTTTAAAAATGTGATGTCATAAGAACACCAATGTTACACTGTTTTAATAACATTTAATAAACATTACTATAATCAGTTTCATCAAATATAGGCAAATTTATGATACTAAGAATACAGTTGGGATTGATGATACCAAAATAGAAAAGCTTATATCAAACAAAAGGCATTATTGAAATGTCTTTCATGTAAAAAACACAATATAATTCTATTAAGTAACACTTTCCCATGACCCAAATTTGTTTCTATTTCTAAATAAGCTTTAAAAACAAAAGCACCTATTTCTAACATGAAATTTAGATCCCAAACTGACTTCAATGTTAAATAAAAACTATTTTCAACTAATACAATACGATAAGAATATATATGATACAGTCCTTACCACAACATCATTTACAATATATTATTTTGTGCTTTGCAAAAAAAACCCAAAATGCTGAGAATTTATATAAAAAAAGGAAACACTGCCCACAGATCATAAGAGTTAATGAATTCCACTGAACATCTGTTAGCATGTGGTAAAATGACAGATGAGGACATAGGCTATATGCTTTGTTTGGCTTCCCAATTGTTTAAAATTTGGCTTCCATCATAAACTGTCTCCTTTACCTTAGACTAGTGTAAGAGAGGAGTTTATTTGTTCCCCTTTTAAGCCAACCTCTATTATACTATTCACTGCACTGTACAAGCTTATTTCCTCAGACTGAACGTTCTTCCTTCCTTCCTAGCTTTTCCAACATGGAAGAGGTGAGCAAAACCCACGTGGAATTGCTATGAATCCTTACAGCATAATTACCATCATCAAAATGCCACTCAAGAAACCCTGGACTTCCATAGCTTCATAGAAGGAGAAAATATCTATACTATTCCTTTACACGTGTAGAACTGGCCCAAGATATAGAATGATAAAGTATAGTGTTCATGGCTATTGATGAATACAATATATATACTTATCTGCACATAACGTGACTTAAATGAAGCAGCAACGTTTATACTTTTCCCACATATCTGAAGTTGATAGAAATGTTTTAAAAAAGTCAACTGAAAAATTTCTTTTCTTTGGTAAATAATGCGGGCAGCAGCAGCAACTAGGGCCTCCACACTTGTTCTCATTGCAAGCATACAAACCAACTGGCCATTTACTCCCAGTTTTCACAGCTGAAATGTTTAAATAAAATCCTATAATGCCTATACACCATTTTTATGTAAGTACTTACACTGGATTTTATACTGGGCAACTGGAAAGCTATGCTTTAAACAGGGTTACTCGGTAAGCGCTGTCTCCCACGACGACGACTCTGGGATCATGATTCTACACTCTGCTTTACACATGGATTCTAATAACTTGGGGATTTTATCTGAATGTTTACCAGTGCCAGGATATCCTTTGGAAGTTAACTGTTATATGCTTGTTATATTCCATTACGTTATTATTTACTTAATTCCAAGGTCGGCAGTTTAAAACCACTAGCCATTCCCCAAGGGAGAAAGATGAGGCTGTCAGCTCCCCAAAAGATTTACAATTTCAGAAACCCTAATTAGGGACTCTGTGAGTCAGAATTGACTTGACAGAAGTGGGTTTGGTTGGCTTGGTTTTATTTCCCTAAAAATGGAGCGTATGAAAGGGTGCTTTGCTGGCCTCCAATAAACGTGTGTTTCACTCGGAAGGGCAGTCAGTCCTCTAAACATTTAATTTTTAGAACGTTGCAGTTGCACCTCATAAACACGGACAAAATCAATTTTTAAAATCTGCTCAACTTGGAACAAAACCTCCTCCACAGTACGGATTCTTTTACAAATGAATTATATTAAAGTAGCATGTGTTTTCAGTTTGCAATCAAATTGCTATAATACAATTGCTTGTCTTCTCAGTCGAAAGTTCATGCAAAACTATTCTTCACAGACTACAATAAAAACAGGGGCAACTCCAATATGAATGAGATACAGAAGAAATACAAAAGTTGTATAATACAAAGGCATTTTAAATATTAAACATAAGGGCAAATTATACAACATAATTATAAAATATAAACAGTAAGTCCTAAAGGCTAAAATTGTTTTACCCATGATACCACTGTTCTCTAAATTGAAAGTGCCTGCTTAATTTAGCTAATGAAAGTTTACTTAGCATGTACTAGGTGCCAGAGACGGTTCTGGGCCCATGATGTATCCGTGACCTCATTTAATCCTGACAACACTGCAAAGGATGAATTGTTTCTATTTGAGAAGAGAAAACGAGGCTCAAAGTTATCATTACAAGTAAAAAGGAAGAGCCAGCATGTTGGAACCACAAGGCCTGATGTTAAAATCTGCATTTATTTATGTATTTAGAATACGGCACTGAGTCTCTATAAAGTTAATCCAACTGATCAATTTCAACTCCTCTCCCATACAAACTTCACATTAATGTTTTCGTGAAAGAGTCTCTGTCATTTCCTTTAAAGATACTACATGATTATATGTGTTCCGTCATCACTCATTTGCTTAAGAATTTGTTCCCATTCTGTTTAATGTGTTACTGCTACGAGTGTTTGACTGTTTGGAAAATTAATCTCTCTTTAAAGCACTCTGGCTTTCCAGCGTGAACGTCTAAGCTAATTAAGTTCATTTTTTATTACCAGATGTTCTAGGTGTGATTTAAAGATGACTGTCTTGTGAGCATATACATTTCAAAACTAGATTTACACACAGAATGAACAAGAAGAAACACTCCACGTAGGAAATTAGAAAAATACCAGTACAAATTTGAACTCTTACCTTTCTTGCCCAAGTCAGATATTTTATTGAAAGAAAATTACAGTAATTAAAAAATCTAAACAAGGACAATTGAAGATTAAAAAACAAAACAAAACGAAAAAACGGAAGGAATCCATTGTCTTTAGTAAAATTTTCAATATAATAAAACAGAGACCAGGAAAACAGTTTATGGCCTTAATACACTAAAGTTTATGATAAACATACATATATAGTGTATCTCCATCAAGTGAAACTTAATCACCTTTTTACAATTTAGAGAGAGAAGGCAGCTTTTACTATGGTTAAGCCATGTATCATCAATACCATGAAGCTAACCTATCAGTTGTAATAGCTTCTATAAAATACCACAGAGAGTGTGCAATAAGCCTAGAAAATGGGCTACAAATCCCAGCTATGTTCAAGCAAGCAGTGAACCAAAAATAAAAATAGGTAAAATTGAACCAAGAACTAGACAACATTCATCTAGATTCATGATTGGTAAGACAAAGCTCATAGGCCAAGATTTAAAGGGACTTATTCATATCTAAAAGATCGTCATTATACAAAATAAAAGCATTTCTTAATTCAGAAAGAAAAAAAAAATTCATGAATTCCCACACCAAAGAACAAGGCGCACGATAGCTCAGTTACAGTTACCAAACACCACCTTACCATGGCTTTTAGAATCTCAATTTAAATATGCAATGGTAAAAAGATTTAAAGTTGCACTTTGTCATTTTGTAAACTCTCTAGTCTAAAAAGGACACCTAAAGGGGGAGCTGTTATCAATTTCAACTCAATACATTTGCTGAATTCTTACAGACTGTACTAGTTTTAGATAAAGGAAATGTCAACTTCAAGTTTCCTTTCCAATGATCCTATTTAAGTTGACCATTAAACACTGCATTAACAATCTAGAGAATAATAGAAAAATATATGTACTCAACCAGTTTTAATCAATGACTAGAACTTTATAAATGTAACTCATCCTACCATCATCGTTTCTCAGAACTCAAATGGCTAGCAGGTAGAATCAAGTGTTCCTACAGTAAAAAATGTTACATTTTCTTCCTGCTTACTGAAAATGACCTCAAGCACGTACTTCAGACACTTACAGTGGCACATTTGGCTGGCTATGCTAAGAGAATTCAAACAGCTCTTACTTTAAAATCCTACATGATTGAAAGTCATAGTTGTTGAGATACCAGTTTTCACATGATTTCATTACGGTCAAAGTAAAACTCACAATTTTTTAATTGGCTTCAGGTATCAGACAAAGCAGGTAGTTTGAAAAGGAATAGTAAATGATTCTGCTACTATGGACTAGTTATTGCTGGGGGTAGTTTAAAATGTTCATTAGTACAATGTAAACTATACCATACAGTACAGTGGGTTTGCAATACAGAACAGATTATCCATATAGGAAGCAAACTAAATAAAATACAAACGTTAGTACAGATTACCAACATTACTTACTACTCATTTTAGCCCTTGTTAAAATGCCCTGAGTAAAATGCAAATATTTCAAATTATACTGGTTATATAAAACTCTTCTAAAAAATGAACTGTTGCTGTTGATGCATTACATTTATTAGTTACAACAATATAATGTGAAAACATAAACATTAAGGAATACTTAGGTTAGATCTGAAAAGTTTTTAATGTTCTAACTTTTGGCAGCATTTTGGCAAAGCAGTAATACATAAATGGATTCAAGTATAAAAAATGTTTTAAGCATAAAAGAGAGGAGTATATAAAATTTACAGCAGTTTCTACCCACCCTGGGTCAACCTAGGTAGCTAGAAAGCCTCCCCACTCAGGTTCCCTTCCAACTAAAAGGAAGAACCCCAGTCCTCCAGCCAAAACAGCCCCATCTTTTCATCACAGAGGCTCTCACTTCAATGATATTCCTCCAGGGAAGAGGACAGGAGCCAGGTTCCCTCGAATGTCATTCCCCAGATGTTCAAACCGTAACTAATTTATTAACATTAGAAGATTTGGTTTATAGGGGAATCTCACTGGTCCAGTTTGTAGCCTACAAAAAAATGGATTATTTTTAAGTATAACATTAGCATATGAAACAAGGATGAGGATGTGGCTTTTTATTCCATAGAAATGGAAACATTTCCAAACACACAATTTAGTTAAAAGCATGCCTACCATTGAAGTTGGGGTCCCTCCAGATTTTTTAATATTCTTTGAAGGCATTCCATGAAGGCGACTGAGTCTAGCTTGGAACCCTGAAAAAAATCAAAGTACTTAATTTAGAGATCCTGGTGGCACTGTCAGGTAAGTGTTGGGCTGCTTACTACGAGGTCCTCAGTTCAAACCCACAAGTCACTCAAGAGGTGAAAGAGGCTGTCTGCTCCTGGAAAGATGTCTACGTCTTGGAATCAACACAATGGCAGTGGGGCTTTTTGTGATGATCGCTGGAGCATGTAAGATGACCCAGTTCATGTGAAATTATAATTTAATACGGAGATACACACCATGAATATTAGTATTGAAAACACAGAGCTCACACTTGGTAGCTCTGAAGCACTGTCAAGTAGGGCCCTAAGAGATTCAGCCCACCACTAGCCTTTGTTCAAGCCCATGGCTATTATCTAGGATCTTTCTCTACCAATTCTCCTGCCTACTATTTCAACACTCCCGCCCCCTCTCCCCAAGGGGCCTAGCAAGAAAAAGCAAATGAATGTGGTTAATAATCTAAGAGCATGCACCAGCTGAATTAAGTGTCCAACAAGGTGGTAGGTACTTAGCATGCTGTTTTTAGAGCCCTTAGTTTTCATTTTAGTCTGTCCTCTCTTTCAAGGGATCCTCCTGGGTATAGCAGTAAGACCCTGGTACCCACCAGATGGGCAGTGCTACTGACCTCTTCTGCCAGGATGGGACATCAGGGGGAAAGACCCAGTTAAGATACTGTCAAAGACAGGATCCGGTACATTTTTATCTAGCTCGGTAGGGTCTTCCTTCTCCCACCAGGGTATGACTCCCGTGATTCCACAGGCTCCGCCTGATTCCTTCTCGTAGAACCAGTCACTCTGCTCATCGTCACCTGTCAATGCAACCAAGCCCCAAAGATTCAGGTTACACATCCAGAAGTACATCACGAGAGCTGTCAATTTAGCAAATAATAATAGTACAGGGCATTAGTTAAATTTTAATTTCAGATAGACAACAAGTAGTCTTAATATAAATATGTCCCGAATATTTGTATCCGATGTTCAGGTAAGTATTGCCAACGATTGACATATTTACACTGAAAAATATTTACTTATCTGCAATTCAAATCAGACCCCCTGGATTTCACCTGGAAATACCATATAACAACATCGCATCGACGGTGAAGACTGTCTTTATTATGCACCACTGCTTTACTTCAGAAATCCTTATAAACAATATGACAAGCACTGCCAGCAACATACAAAGTGAAAAGTTTCAGAACTGGCTATAAAGTGGGAAATAATAATAACAACAACCGTAGAGAAGTCCATTTAAGCGAGTACTCTCTTTCCACACTGCCAAAAAAAAACAAAAAACAAAACACCAGAAAAAAAAACCTTAATCTCCTGCCAGGAATAAAAAGGTATAAAACCATGGAACCTGTTCCTGGCAGCTGATAATGGTATATAATTAGCTTAATTTCATGATTTGTATGGAATGTAAAAGGGGAAACAATCATGAACAGATGTGACTAAATGAAATTAATCTGCTTAAGTTCGTTAAGAAATAGTTTTGAAAAAGTTGACTTCAAATGAAATGTGACAGTGCAGGGCTTATGAAGAAACTACGAAAAACCAGTTACTGTGAAAGCGCCATCCGTCCAGGAAGTTCGGCCTTTTGGAAGCATCCAGAATGTAACCACTGAGTAGTAGAGATCAACTTACAGTTCCGTCTGAAAAGACCCCATGGAGTGAATTAACAATGTTTTGTCACTTTTTTTAAAAGAAATGTAGTACAAGACAGACTTTTAAGAATACGAAATTGTGATCTGAAATAGGGGCAGAGATACAATAAGTCTCCTCTATGACTCTTAAGATCCATGAGAAAATCTGTTTCCTAAGAGGGCCATCCCAATGCCATAAACCTTCCTATTTTTTATTTCCAAATAGTTTAAGAGAACACATAAAAGTTCCTTAAGCTTTCATTAAAAATGAGGTTATGGAAATAGCGTTATTTTGAATGAAAATAAAATGAAGTATTATAAATGAGCATTCATTTCATTTTAAAGCATGAGGAATACCAGTTGTCACCAGCCTATTCCAGTTGAGCGCTAATAAATTAATAACAAACAACAATGAAAAAATAAGAACAATCTCCCATAATTTTAATATCGATATTCTAACTGAATAAGAGGCATATTAAAATTTCAAGAATCAAATTTAATCATAAGAAAACAGAGGTTGTCACTACCCTAGATCACAATTGTCACTGAGACAATGTTGTTCTGGTTCAAGGAGGTTCTTTTATTTTACTGTGAATCGGAAGATCAACCTGCTGATGACTAAAACCCTAATTTCTGACGTCAGATAGACCAATCGGAATCCCAGCATTTTGTCACTTGGAGAAGTAACTTCAACTCTAACACCAGAGGTTTCTTTGTTAAAACTAAAAAAAAAAAAAAAGCAGGAGTGTAGGGAAATCTCAGAGTTGTTTTAAGAAAGAAGAAATTAAAGTTAATGGAATACAAGGCACGCATGCAGCCAGGGGAAATGCAGGGTGCGCACAATAAAAAAGCTAACATTACTCTAAGCCCACTGCTTTGCAAAGGCTGGTCCAAGGCTACTGTTGTACCAGATGTTTTCATTTTACCTCATAACCAAGTTCAACACTCTCAGAAATACAGCCTTAGGTAGACATCGACACTTAAATGTCCACTTAGGGCCTGGTGGTGTAGTGGGTTATGCTTTGGGCTGCTAACCATGAGGTCAGCATTTCAAAACTACCTAGTTACTCAAAGGGAGGAAGACAGGCTTTCTACTCCTGTATAGTTACAGCCTCAGAAATCCACAGGGGCTCTTCTACCCTGTCTTATAGGGGTCATTAGGAGTCAGAATCAACTTGAGTTGGGATTGTTTGTTTAGTACAGTATATACAGTACAGTATACAGTATACTATATACAGTATAGAGGTAGCCAGACTTACTCTTAGATTATTTAACAGTAAAATGTTTATAGTTTTTAAAGTTATTTCAGATAAATTGTTTAGAAGTAAACAAAAAGGAATGTCATTTAATTTATTTTACATATGCTACGTGGGGATAACGAAAGGAAGGGGGGAAAAGGTATCTCTTTTTAGACCAAAAACTGTTTATTCATAATTTACAACAAATAGCATACTTAGTTTATCCCCTTAGAACTTATGGCCTTTGACTCTCACTCACTCACTCACTCACTCACTCACTCTCATTCACTGACTTACTCACTCACTCACACTCACTCACTGACTTACTCACTCACTCACACTCACTCACTGACTTACTCACGCACTCACACTCACTGACTCATTCACTCACTCACTCTCTCACTCTAATTCACTCACTCTCATTCACTCACTCTCTCATTCACTCACTCACTCACACTCTCACTCACTCACTCACTCTCTAATTCATTCACTGTCATTCCTTCACTCACTCTCACTCACTCACTCTCATTCACTGACTCACTCTCTAATTCACTCACTGTCATTCACTCACTCACTCTCACTCACTC